AAATGTAACCGCAGCCGAGCCGATTGCCCCCAGACACCAAGTCGCATTATAGAAGGCGGTCGCGGTCTGTCTCTGGCGTGGGTGCGCAATCTCAGTTACCAAGAGAGGAGCAGCAGTTTGGGAAATGCCCATGCCCGCACCTGTCAGCACCCTCATACCGAAGAAAGCCCAATGATTTCTAAAAATGGTCTGAATGATCGTTGCGACAATGACAAGACTGCATCCGAGTCCCACGCAGATCTTGCGCCCATGTTTATCTGCAATATAGGACGCTGGTACGAATGCTAAAAAAGCTCCCAGAGAAGTGCCGGCAATGATAAGACCAATTATGTTGGGGTCCAAACCGCCAATTATTGTGGTGACTACTTTTTGGTCAATATCAATCTCATGGACTCAATAGAATCACTTACATTGAGGTAATACCAGCAGGCTGTTAACTAAACTTGCGATATAACCCGACGAAGAAGCAGTAGAGAACATGAACAGAATTCCAAGATTCAGTTTCCGTAAACCCTTGTCCTTAATCCAGTTTTTATCCGTGTTGTTGGGCAGAAGCTTAAATGCTTCCAGAGGAAGCTCCGTCGGGGGAGCCGTATCAGTCTTCGCTGTCATGGCGCTCTATCAATGTTGACGCTGTACCAAGTATAAGACGAGAAAGTATAATCTGCAGAATCCAAGCCAAGCCATTTATACAAACTTCAATCATTACTATAAAACCTGTAGCAGAACAAGGGATTATCCACACATTCCTCCCCCTAATGAAACCCTCCGACTCTCCCAGGTTAATCTTCGGGCTCTCCATAAGATGACTGGTGACTAAAGATGGAATGAAGGGAGGAATGTCCGATCTAACTACCTATTCGGGTGGTTTGTCCAGCGTACAAGAGTCCCAAGAACACGGATCCATACTGCCAATCATGCACAAACTAAACGATCTACAGTGCAATACACTGCTCCTTGCAACAACATGGATGCCACACGTGAGACATATCCCATTCAAACTTCATCATCATTCATCACTATCACCAAGCAGCGACGCATACCGGTTGCCAAGCCCACAAAACCCTTCACATTGCTCTCCAACATCCCGCCCTTTGTGCAACACTTCCTCAATACCCCACGTCACGCGTTCCGCACCGACTCTCGCGCCTTCAAGATTCGGTGCCGCGGGTCCAAGCCGGAGAGATGCCATCCGTCCTGTCATGAATAGCGGTACGTCTTCACGCCATGATAGGTCGTTTGTTAGACAGGGGAATCCGGACTTAACTTCGATGGGGTATTGTTCGTTCATTTCGCGTAGTAAGGGCATCTCGCGGACGTCGGTGCGTGCACCTGTTGCGAAGTAGATGTAGTCTATTGGGGGGAGGTTGGGGATTGGTGGGTCGGTTGTTAGGGTCCAGGTTTGGGTTGAGGTGTTGTATTCGTGTGATTTTATTTCTGTGCATGGGTGGAGGGAGGCGCGGTGTTTGGCGGTGTGTTGTTTCACGATTTTGGTGTAGCGTGGTGTCATGCTGCCTCCGTTGCGGGCAGTTTGAAGCATTTCGAGGCGTTCTACATGGGTTAGTTTAGTTGTTGAATATGGGGAAGGGACATGTAATTGAATTAGGGCCTACCTTCGTCGGTATCGGCAGACCAGAAGGCTGCTTTTTCCCAGTTTTTGTATTTGCCCATCCATGGCAAACTGATATCAAAATGTTTGACTGTATTCGTGTTAGCTTTGTGTTCATAAGTCCACTATCCATCAAAGCATATACATACCCTTCATCCCGGACCTCATAATAAACCACACTTTGGTGACTCCCTTGCGAACAGCCATGTCCACAATCTGAGCTGAAGAAAGCCCACCCCCAACAACGACAACATTTGTCTCCTGTCGGCGCTGGATCTTGTCCTGTACATTAGGACTGGGGAAGGTCTTAATTTCCATGCTGTGGCAACATCCAGCTGCACCCTCTTGCTCATTTGCTGGCTTCCATGGATAGATCTTTGAAACTCCTGCACCACCAGGACCGATGGCAAGCACAACAGCCCGGCTGTAGAATTTCTCTCCAGTCGACGTGGAAATTGTAAAGATCTTCTCCGAGCCATCAGACACATAGTCATAAGAGAGTCCTGTGGCCTCGCGCTGCAAGATCTGTCCCGGCTCGTTGAGTCCATACCGATCAATGATCGAAGCGCAGTAATCGGCGAACAGTTCCGTAGAAGGAGAGAAGTAATCTTTCCGGTCTCGTTCGTCGATCTCGCCTCCAATTGGCCTATATCTGTCAGACAGACACACCAAAAGGAATCGAAACCTTCCAAGTAAACTTACTGAGTCTTTCCCCCCTGTCTTCTCTTCTTTTTCTTATGCTTGCTCATCTCCTTCCCAACACAACCTGGAATCTCCCACAAATCCCCCTCGCGCCCAGTCTCCTGAGTATAGGCCAACATCCCATCCCGATCACCAGGATCAACATGGAAGAACATCGGACTGCGAAGCTGCTTAATCTCTAATGTCTTGAAAGCATTATTCCATCGTTGCATCCATTTATCCCCCGATCCATCAAGTACTAAAGTTGACACAGACGACGAGGTCGATGTAGTCGAGGAAGCGGAGAGCGATGGAACAGAAGATACAGAGTCTGTAGACGCACGCCGTTGTCGATCTTGGCCTTTGTCTTTGCCATCTTTGCTATCGCAGGGACACATCGTCTCGCAGTTCCATTTGTTTGCCCGAACGCCGTTGATCTTGCTGTGTCGGGCTTGTACGAGGTTCATTCGGCCGGTGTGTTTCTTTATCCAGTGGTAGCGTTGGTGCTCTTCGTCAGTGAAGACTGCCGAGGGGGTTTCTTCGCCTAGTCGTGCGGCGACGGCGAGGCCACAGGGTCCTGCACCTATTATTATTACATCGTGGATAGAGGCTGGTTGGGGTTCGTCAGACATCTTGGGGTTGGTAAAGTGGTTGTGGATATAGTATGTTGAGATATGAGGGCTGGATAAATGAGATAAAAGGAACCCTTCGAGATTCGAAGAATGGGGATACTATTTCTTTTATATTAATCTATTGGCATTGGTACTCCTCACATTCACTTGACCTTCTACAATGTCCTCAGCGTCACGAGTTGGCCATCGAGGTACTCTTCCCCAAGGTCCTTAGGGCTTGCATGATACAATACTCAAACGGGACAAGACCCATGCTCCACACTCAAGGTGGATCTGACAGTCTATTGGAAGCTGTCAACTGAGGACCTTGGGGTTCAATTGCGATCATTGGAAATCGCATCAAAACAATGAAAATATTCAATTTAACTCGGTAAAGAATTGAATTTAGGGTCTGGAGACCCGACAAATTGGTGAAACTAACTACCCTTATGATACCAGGGTTAAAGTGAAGGCAATATGATGTTCTGCGGAAGGTGTAATCCCATTCGTGCAAGAGTATGGTGAGGAGAGTAGACGATATCAAGATATCAACGAGGATTGATTTACGCAATCAATCCGGAGCTCCCTTTCTTATGATCCTTGATATCTGGCGGCGCTTTACCAACCAAAGCAGCCATCTCGAGATGATCAGGTACAGATTTACTCCCATGTCATGTTTCTTAACGAAGTCCCCATCCGCTGTAGAGAAATACACGACGATAGAGTACATGCGCCATTTATTCCACGGCATGAATCCAATACGACGAAAGGGTGGGATCTGTTGTATGTCATGCCCAATCTTTGGAGTTTTGAATAAGACGGGGTCAGGCTGGTATGATAGTATATCATCTCTGCGGGATATGATAGAATATGCCCGAATTTAACGACCCATGCTCCTCATGGAAGTTTCATTGCTAAGTAAAGCCCCTTTGATGAAGTCTTACATAGCAAAGTCAGCTTTAGTCTAGATATTCTGAATATGACCCATGCGACATAACGAGCCGTTGGGGGTGCTGATGAGCATTGCGAGGGTTCTCGCGTGGAATGACCTCAACATTGAAGACCGGGAGACATGCGTGTCATCTCCGTGGACAGGGTTCAGAATGCGGTAGTTCCAACGCGCGCTTGAAGAATATTTCCAGGAGCAAGTGATGACATTGGTCTGACGATTTTTCTCGCGGCGAATGAAGCTGGGCGGATGAGACCCATCGCGAAAAGAACCAAGCAATGACGAATGAAGGGATAGTGAGGTCCGATGGGTACATGTAGATGGGTGGATCCATAAAGGGAGGAAAGATCAACAAAAGGTTGCTGCAGGGACTCTTGATGTGTGGTTGTGGCTGCGTGCCTATAGACGAACCTATGCGGATGATAGAAAACCGACAAACTGTTCATTTGAATTGAATGTTTGGTATAAAACTGCTCTATGATACAGCACCTATCCTATCGGGTAACTCATTAGACGGTCTATTAGAACTCGAGAGTTCTTATAGGGCGATTGCACGGAGCGGGCACGGCCCGAGGGAACCTTGTTAGTCATAGTACTTACGGCGTACCTTCCAAGGTTGGAAGTAGTTAAAGTATACAGCTGCTCAATATCGCTGCTTATTAGTTCAGCAAACTATGCATGCATGTCCAGAGGTTGGTTGATAAGTTAAGCCCACTTTAGCTGTAGCACCGAGGATAATATTTTCCAAACTAACCGAATCTTTTTGGCTGTCCTTCATTGTTGTTGATAGCGATACTCAAATAGTATTTAGTGTAATGTTATCGTCAACATGATTACAGAAGAAATACTATGCGTAGTTCACAGTATAGAAAAGACCTAAAAAATTAAATTAAGCACAAAGGGGGAATAGCAAAAGCAGCGAATACCACCACACAAAAACACCAGACCAACACAAAGAGCAAAAACAAAAACAGATAATAAGACACGATAAGTAACAAAAAACGCATAGACCATCAAAATCCAACACAAACACCAAAACCAACCAACGCCAACACTTAACCAACACCCATCATTGCCAACACCAAACCATATCAATCCAAACCACCTCTCCTATTTATGCCACTTCTTAAGCTTCTTCCCCTCCCCAACCCTAGCCCTCGGTGCACCACCCCCCTCCCTCCGGTGCCAAGCATCCTGAGGCCAAACCCACCCCCTCACCCTCTTAGCATCCCTCCGCTCCCCAATCTGCGGCGGCGGGATCCAATCATCCTTCCCCTCTGGCAAGACCCGCTGCCGCGTCATTGCACCCGGCCCGCCGACGTTGAGGTGGGCGGATGGCTGGTGCGGTAATGGTTGGGATTTCGAGAGCATGAGTAGGAAATATAATGCTAGACTTGCTGTCATTGGTGTTGAGAGGGCCTGGGCTTCTTCGGAGGTTTCGTCTGGGAAGGGGGAGTGGGATGATGATGGTGAAGAGGAGGAAGGAGACGAGGAAGAGAACGAGTGCGCGCTGATGGGCGTTGCCAGTGCCGGCCCGTCACGGGAGAGCGTATGTGCATGTGCATGTGCATGAGGGCGCGAGCTAAAAGCAGCCGTCTTAAGTGGGATAGTAGCAGCAATCTCGAAGTATCCGAAATAAGGAACGTCATCGCCATCGTCGCAGCCAGCTCGAACGCAGACTAGTTCGATTTCTGTGATTATGAATCCGTACCGACAGGAGTGTTCGCGCATGCAGCGTTGCAGGTGGGCGAGGCCGTTGAGGTATTCGACGCGGCGGTGCGGTGCTTCATTGCGCATGCCTGTATTCCAGCGGTCGAAGCTCTTGACTATGCCGACTAACCGGCCGCGAGGGAGACCGGCGCTTGTCTGCTCCGTGTCTGAGGCGTAGTTTGCTAGGAAGTGCGGATGGCCGTGGTTTTTGTGGCCTGCGCTGCGGACGTCTGGGGCTGCGTAGAGCTGGAGATGGTCGGGCCCTTGGGAGACGGCTAGGGCGGCGTTGACTCGGGGCGCGTAGAGGTTTGTGATCAGGTTCACTAGGGCGGGTTCGGATTCTGGGGCTAGGTGGGCGAAGGATACTGCCACCGGTGGAGTGAGCTCGCCTGGGATTTCGGTTCTCAGGAGCTGGATTAGTCGGCTGTCTACTAGGTCGAAGGTTGCTAGCGAGAAGGAGGTCCAGTTTCGTAGGTTGCGGATGTCCCACCAGAAGTAGTCGTGCATACCGCGAGTTGGGACTACGCTCACGTTGCGGACTAGGTTGATTGGTGGGATTGGCATTGTTAGGTAGGAGAGGAGAGTTGTTGAGCGTGGTGTTGGTGGTTCTTGGGGACTCAGCAGGGCTGGTGATGGCTGTGCGGAGGCCGGATGGTATTTGTATTGGGGGGTTGGCACTGTCAATGGGTGTGTACATGTTGGGGTTTGCTGGGCCGTTGGTCTCTGGGAGTATGACGGATAGACCACGATAGTTGGAGTGATTGGAGTGACCGGTGTGGTGGGAGTGGTTTGAGCATGCATCTGAGGCACATATTTAGGAAGCTCACGGTAGGTTGGATATCCAAATCGAGTCAAAGTGGCAGTGTCGACACCAGATGCTGACACGGAGCGTGAGTGGCCACCGACGGCTTTGCGCTTGTGAGATGGGGTGATAGCCACAGGCGATGACAAGGTAGAGCTGGTGCCATGGGCCATTGGGGCCGGTGAGATAGGGGACGCCAACGTCAAGCGGTCGACAACATCCCGAGTATGACGGTTAGACCGAGTAGTTGTATAAGGGACAAAGCCAGGAGGGTTCCGTGTATTAGACAGAACCCGGCGGGAACGAAGAGGTCCGCCAGCAGACACTGGCTCGATGACAACATCCTGAGGTCTGATCTTTGGCAAGAGGGCCGGACCATGATGATGCCTGGTTGGCGAGGTGGTAGGACTAGTGTTGCCGGTGATAGTCGACCAAGGCGATGACTCGCTTGAGTAGACAGACGAGTTGGACTCATGGCGACTATGACCCGAGCCGGTGAACCCCTCAAGAGGAAGACGCGGCGGCGTTGTAGGCCGATAGCGAGCGTACTGCACAGACATGATAGACAAGTAGTTGTCTAACTTGATCTTTGTCACAATAACAAACGAATGAGAGAGTGATGAGGATCAAATCATCAAGGCGAAGAGCTTGGATATTAAATGGTCTTCACAAGGTCTCAAACGGCCAAGCACGCATATAAAAAGATCGACTGACGAACTCATAGAAAACATGAAACATGGAGAAGAGCCCCATTGTGACGCCAGCGGAGCTTCAGATTCTTTTTTTGGGATCCTAGTCTCCGATCAAGAGGAACGTTCACGCGATGAAACGCGAAACTGCCGACATTGTGCCTGAAAGACAGACATGTCGCGCGAAGATGCACTTGAAACTGCAGAGACGGGGGTTCTAGTCCGGTATAGTGCCGTTTCATCGGACAGTCGCGCGTCAAGATGTTGCTATATTTTGCACTTGGGTCAACTTCATTCTTCAGATGCCTTTCTGGGGTTAGTCTGCTGCAAGATCTGAGAGCAGTTCTAAATTCGGCAACAATTAGGTCGCAATTTGCAGGTAATTAGCGGACTTGTTGGTGACCCTCCCTGCTTCAGCACTCGCCGAGTCGGCGGCTAGGGAGTTCCAAGAAGCAACAGGATAAAAATAGCCCTTTGTCTGTGTGTGATTCAAGGGTTCAAGGAGGGGAAACAGTTTGAGAAAGGTAATATGGGTAGATGCGCCAGTGGCCGAGTGTGATATCAAGGTCAGCGGCTACAGATGTACGTTGAGTCTCAAGTACGCGCCGATCGACGTCGTCACATTCGGTGATTGGACGATTTTTCGAAACAAGCAAAGAAACATCCCATAATTAGCAATGATTAATGCAGTTGATCGGATCAATCTGTTCGTGCAAAAGAAGGGTTAAGGAGTAAATCACGGAAATCGGGAATCGGGGTAAATCGCATAGGCGCGCAGGGACCCCTGACGTTTCAATAGAAGAAAGTAGAAGATTGTATATTATTAATGTTCATTTTGATTATCTCATAACATTCATGGGTGGGCCGAAAAATAAACCCAAATAGAAAACGAAAAATGCAAGGTTTCAAAACCTGCGTGGTCTAGGTAAACAAAACGCTTGGGGGAATCTCTCTGAACCGTCTAAACAAGGATCAAATCCAACGGCAAAGGCAATTGCAGAATCATGAAAAGCTTTTTAAGCCTTGATCTCGTACTTGCGGCGGAACATGTCATCCACCTCAGTCAGGTAGTACACACCGGAGCCGATGGTCTCGACGTTGCCGGCGGGCTTGAAGTCCTTCTTCAAGTGAGCGTGCTCACGGAGCTTGCACATGGCATCGTAGGCAGCAGGCTCGAGAACAGTGCGGGCATTGAGGCGGTTCTGGAGGTCCAGCTTCTCAACCATGTTGGAGACATCGCCGACAATCTTGGCGCTGAACATGGAGCTGGCAAGACCACTGCCGTAGCTGAACAAGCCAATGCGCTTGGGCTCCTTGGGGTCGAAAGTGACGTTGCTGAGCAGACTGGCCAGGCCGCCGTAGACGGTAGCAGTGTACATGTTGCCACACTGTGTGGCAACCTGGAGACCAGGGTTGACACGGTCAGCGAAGCGCTTCTTGGTCAGGGCCATGAAAGTCTTCTCAACAGTCTTGTCGGACAGAGACTTCTCGTAGTCCAGATCGCGGAGCTCGGGGGCAACCTCGGCGAAAGCGGGGTGGGAGGGGTTGGCGAGGTAGTCGTTGTAGAGCATGCGAGCGTAGGACTTCTGGACCAGCTTGCAGGTGGGGGCGTGGAAGAGGATGTAGTCGAAACGGTCCAGAGGAGACTGGGACTCGTCAGCAACACCGTTGGTGCCGTTGGTCTGGGCCTTGAGGGTCTTCTCGCGGGCATCGTAGGCCTTGTAGCAGGCATCGACGGCCTCGGTGTAGCACTTAAGGGAGAAGTGGCCATCGACGACGGGGTACTCGCTGGTGAGGTCGGGCTTATAAAAGTCGTAGGCGTGGGTGATGTAGGAAGCACGGAGACCGGGCTCGAAGACAATAGGGGCGTCAGGGCCAATGACCATGGCAACACAGCCAGCACCACCAGTGGGGCGAGCGGCACCAGCGGCATACAGAGCAATATCACCGCACACAACAACGGCGTCACGGCCGTCCCAGGCGGAGGACTCGAGCCAGTTGATGCTGTTGAAAACAGCGTTGGTACCACCGTAGCAGGCGTTGACGGTGTCGACACCCTCAATGTTGGTGTTGCCGTGGGGAGCAAAGAGCTGCATCAGGACAGACTTGACGGACTTGGACTTGTCCAAGAGAGTCTCAGTGCCAACCTCGAGGCGGCCAACGGACTTGGGGTCGATGTTGTACTTGTTCATGAGGGAGGATAGGGTGGTAAGGCACATGGAGTAGATGTCTATAAATCACGCTCGTTAGTTTCCTCGTTCTATCTTCTTTGTAGGATGCCTGACATACCCTCGCGGTCATCACAGAAGCTCATCTTGGTCTGGCCAAGACCGATGGTGTACTTTCCAGCACTGACGCCATCGTACTTCTCGAGCTCGACCTGGTCGACGCACTGTGGAAAGATTAGTACCTCGCCCGTAGTTCAATGGCAGTGTGAGCTCTTACCTGAGTAGGAAAGTAGACCTCAATGGCCTTAATACCAATGTTCTGGGGACGAGCAGCCATCGTGGGGTAAAAGCTATAAACTTTTGAATAGCAAGGGGAAAGAAAAGAGAGGATAGTAAAAGGCAAAAGTGAATAAAGAGAACCGACCCCTGGACAAGCAGCTTAAATAAATAAAAGAGGGTAACGTACAGTACTCGGATCTACAGTGTACGATCTGTCACCGTCAACTTTTTTTCCCCTGAGTGGGGAGGATCGACCTTGGGTCTTCCTTTGGACCGGATACTTATAGATCTTTAGTACTGTAAATAGTGAACACTGTAGTTTAGTTGTTGTTAATGGAATATGTAGCAAGATATAAATAGATATACACAATCACCAATTGTATATATTCAAGATGTTCCCATAAGGGCAATGTTTGGATGAATATTTGATCCCAGACGGATGGCAACGGTGTAGAACTCAGTCTTATCTCGGATCTACGTTGATCCGACTATACTGGTGGACACTAGAGATCCGCTTCCTCGTTGGCCGTGTACTTAAGCCCGGATACTCCGTAGTTTTATAGAAGGAAGTGGCATCATTCGGATGTGCTCAGATCTCTTGCATCTGTTATATGGGGCTATGGGTACCTATACTTATATTGGAGTATTGGGTACCTACCGTAGTTTCAGTACTAACTTATACAGCATGGTTAGCATGGAGAACATAAGCCACATTGCTTTCAGGTGCATTCGAATATCACCTAAATTATATATCACAATAATATATCTTACTCCTTTCTCCAGGTGGTGTTGCCAATGCTAACGCCAATGCCAATGCTTCGTAATGCCGAGCGTGGGTCACTCCGGGGGCGTCTGCCTGGATTCATTCTCTCCCTATCTCTTCTCTCCAATCTGGAATCTTGAATATAACCCCTAACGGCATCGGGAGGATGTCGGACGTCGCTCGTTTGCCATTTACTTCTAGATCATGATCGTCTTGATCTCCGCATCCGCGCTAAACACCTACCACCGCTCGCCGGAGCCCCGTACCACCCACCATGGGCGACGAGAAGTATGATTATCAAGCCCAACCCATCCCCTCCTACGAAGAAGCCACCGGCCAACCCTCTTCCTCTCGATCCGACCTCGGCGAAGGAACAGATTTGGAACGACAGGGGCTTCTCGGTCGCGATCATGCCTCCACACGAGGCTATCACCCACCGACGGTGGAATCGGCGCGCACCAGTCTCGACGACCTAGATTCCTCGGCCTCACACTCAGACCGGGAATCAACCGATGAGCTGCGACGGGAACTGGATCAGATGGACGTGGATGACTCCGCGTCTTCATCCTTGACTGGCCGTGCCCGTCTAGGCCATCGGTTCTCCAAGCAGCTATCGAGTCTGACCCGCACGCTATCCGCCATCCAACGACCCTTTCAGCGATATATGCCCAGTTTCCGCTTTACGATAAACCTAGGCGATGCACGCGCCCGTTTCAAGGACCAGGGCTGTATCATGATGCTACGGCTGTTCGCTCTTTTACTCGTAGTCGCCCTGGTCTATGTGTTCTTTATCGCGGATATCTTCAACATCAACAGTCGCATGGTCATGGGCACGTCGTACAGTTCGGCGTCGGTCGAGAACTTCATTCAGGGTCATATCAATGAGACGAACATTGCCGAGAACTTGCGCCGAGTCACCAACTACACTCATATTGCCGGGACAGAAGGCAGCTTCGTGCTATCGCAATTTATTGAACAGGAGTTTCACAAAGCTGGATTCGATGTAGTCTCGCGGGAGGAGTTCCAGGTATACCTCAACTATCCACGCCAGGATGGCAGGAGGGTGGCGATTATCGATCCGCCCAATCTCGCTTGGGAGGCTAAACTCGAAGAGGACAACGCCAAAGACTTGGTCTTCCATGGACATTCCAAGTCGGGCAATGTAACTGGGCCCCTGGTGTATGCCAATTTTGGATCTCGAGATGATTTCAAGGCTCTTGCAGAGAAAGGAATCGAATTAAAAGGCTCAATCGCTCTTGTCCGTTATTACGGGACTGAAACCGATCGCGCTTTGAAAATCAAGGCCGCTGAGCTGGCCGGCGCGGCGGGCTGCATTATCTACTCTGATCCCTCTCAGGATGGATTCGTCAAGGGCCCGGCTTATCCCGAAGGCCGGTACATGCCCAGCGATGGCGTCCAGAGAGGCGGTGTCAGTATGATGTCGCAGGTTGTTGGAGATGTCCTCAGTCCTGGGTTTGCATCCACCCCGGGAGAAAAGCATCGTCTGTCTCCTGAGGAGAGCACTGGGTTACCTAAGATTCCCAGTCTCCCTCTCGCCTGGCGTGATGCCCAGCATCTTTTGCAGGGTCTCAAGGGACACGGTTCCAAAGTACCTAAGGAATGGGTTGGAGGGGTGCCTGAAGTCAAAGAGTGGTGGACTG